GGACGAGCCCGCATTTAGGGCTTAGGGTTTAGGGGTTAGGGGTTTATAGAGGCTTGCAAACATCAGCCCTCGAATATTTACCCATGTACTGACGACCCTAGGATCTCTACAGCCGAAATCTTGAACCCCGACCCCCCCCCCCACCCTCCCCCCCCCAAAACAAAAAAAAGAAACAGCAATCCCGAAGCCTTAACCAGAAGCCCCCAAACCCCTAAGCCTTAGGCAGACATGGTATCTCACGCCTACTTGAACCTGTGGATCCTCGCCTGGCCTGTCTGAGCTGTGAGAGTGCAAAGCCCCCCAAACCCAACCCTAAACTCCGGTGCTGTAGTAGTGCCTTCTGTTCTGAACCTAACCCTGCAATGCGGGCTCGTCCCTGCTAAGTGGGAGGGAACAACACCCGTGAGAATCGAAACCCTAAACCCTAAACCCTAAATCCCTAAACCATACAGTAAACCCTAAAACCCTAAACCCTAAATCCCTAAACCATACAGTAAACCCTAAAACCCGAAACCCTAAATCCCTGACCCATACAGTAAACCCTAAAACCCGAAACCCTAAACTGCCAGGTCCCTTCAACGAAACCTGGCGGAAGGCCTTTCCCGCTGACTTTGGAGGCTCCGGTGCCGAAGTCCGGAAGTGAAGGTTTTAGGGGCCTGTGAGGGGTTTAGGGATTTTTTGGGGTGTAGGGTTTTTAGGGGTTTAGAGTTTTAGGGTTTAGGGGTTTAGGGGTTTACGGGGAAAAGCGGCTAGGGTCTTGGGCCGAAAAAATGAGCTCCCATCCTCACTACGAAGGCCAAGCCTCATAGCATCAATCCCAGCCCTCAGAAAACCCTACACCACAAGTCTTAAACCCTACGCCCGAAACCCTACACCACAAGTCTGGCACCACCCTGAGGCTTGTGAACTTAGGGACTTTCTGGTCTGGAACCTTTTCAACATTGCTTGCTTGTGAATGGACCTATTCAACCTCGCTTGTGGGCTTTGATCCTTAGCTATGCGAGAGGGAAAAAACACCACAAGTCTTAAAGCCCCGTTCTGCCTCCCTTCCCCTAGAAGCGAGGTGAAGTTCGAGGGCCGTGAGATCGATCTTGGGTGGCTGCACCAGCCGCAGGTCTACCGGGGTTTCAGGGACCAGGGTACTATATTAGGGTCCTATATAGGGGTATTATATTAGGGTCCTATATTAGGGTCGTTTATTAGGGTACTATATTAGGGTCCTATATTAGGTTACGATATTAGGGTCCTATATTAGGGTACTGTATTAGGGTACTATATGAGGGTAGTATAGGCTTCAGGCTTTGTGCCTTAGGGTTCAGGGTTTGCCTGCGGAGTAGTGCCTCAAAATAGATGGTGCCCTAGGTGGACAAAACATTGGATCCTGCGGAAGCTATGGCGTCAATGTCAGAACACCGACGCTTCGTGCAGGCCTCCGGGGGGGGGGGTGGCCGGGTCCAAGTGTCTGTCCGGAGCGTGAGCCGGCCTCTCTCTAAACAAAAGGAGCCCAGAGAATTGCGAATATTACTGTTAGGCTGTCAGGGTTCCTTTAATATATATTTATTTTATATACTAGGAGCCCAAACCCTTATTCTAATTAACAAGGCCCCTACATTACTCCTGCCACGGATCCTGAAACCGCGGAGAGCCGAGAATGACTGGGACTCTTAGAGCCTGAACCCTAGTATGAATATAGTAAGTATAATACCCCATGGCCCTATTCTCATTATGAAGGCCCCTATATTAGAGCCTGAACCTTCTGTGACAGGTGGCCATCCGAACTCTCGCGCAGGAGAGGGAGGAACTGATTGCGCAAGGCCGCAAAGTCATCTGCGCCGACAACCGTCTGATCTGCGACGCCGTGCCCTTGAAATACGGCCGCCACTCGCTCTAAAGTTTTGAGGCCTGGCTCGGATCAGCAGCAATACTGAGAATGATGGTCCGACGTTCTAGTCTCTGACTGAAGAGTGAAAGGGCCAGTTCCTTGGCGCTTTGACAGAGACGCCTTTTTGGCTGTAAGAAAAAACCGAGGCCAGATGTGGTTCGGCTACATCGGCCAGGTGGAGATCGTGAATGGCGGGCCTGGGGTTGGTGGCCGACTCAACCCCGCGCGAGCGACCTTGAGTGGCGTGGCAGCATTTTAGGACTCAGGCAAAGTCAGGAGATAGAGTAGTGATCGACAAGGCCAGAGGAAGAAGCAAAAGAAGCACGGTCGTCGCCGAGGAAGGTATAGCGATATGAGAGATTGACAGGCTTCCATTGAGTTCTTGCCTCAGGCTTAAACCTTGTGGCATCTGTGGGTCTTCCCGACATGTCGGTCATTGACCTGCTGGGGAAGCTGGGCGCGCCTCGCCTGAGCGCACTTATCCGTATCCTGACCTATCCCTGATGCGAAGAGTTCGTTTTCGACTCAAGTCCAGTCGGGACTGGTTGAATCAGTCTGTCAGTCTTCAGAGCTGTTTTCCTTGCCATTTCGCCGCTCAAAGTCGCGAGCTTGCAGCAGCTGAGGCCAAAAGGCCTGGAGATTGGTATAGTGAGGAGGAATGCAAGAAGCCGGAGCCTAAGCAAAGGGTCGACTCGGGCCAATAAGTTGGCAGAACATTGATCTTTCCCTCGGCCATCAAAGAAAGACGCCGCAGCCATCCTGAAGTTATGGGCTCGATAAACGCTGGGTGTTGTTGCGTTCGTTCTCTGCTAACTTGTCTCGTTCAAGAGCAAAGCACCCAGTCACTTGTATGTGTGTACTGTGCTATTCTTCACCTTGCAGAGCAACGCTGTAGGCGCTAGTGGCAGCAGCGGCGTTGGCGGTGGTGACCGAGATGGTGGTGGCGGTGACCGTGGTGGTGGTGGTGATGGTGGTGGTGGTGGTGGTGGTGATGGTGGTGGTGGTGGTGGTGGTGTCGTCTTGGCGGTGCGGTGGCTGCGGTTGTCGGCGCGGTGGTTGTGGTGGTAGCGGCGCTGGTTGCGATTCTAGTGCTGGCGGCGGTGGGGGTGGTGATGCTGCTGGTGGTGCTGACGATGATATGATGACTGTGATGGTGCATGTTGATGAACATGATGACATCATGATGATGAACGGGATGATTTTGATGATGAAGATGAAGAAGAAGACGGTGATGATGATGACGATGACGATGATGACGATGAAGCGGCCTATAACGATGCTCAACTTCATCCGCCGAAACAGTAGCACTGACGAAGCAATCGAGCCGTTTTGTGCTCGCTGCCAGGGATGTGGTCTGGAATTATTGGGACAGGCACGAGATGTGTGAGGAGAGCTGCAGTATGCTGGAGCTTTACCAAGCCTACTGCCACACTCGGGTGTCCGTGCACGGCTAGCCTGGTTAAGCGAAAGGTCCAGCAAGCGTCTGTCATTGTGCTGTAAGAACGACACGTCTCGGGCGTGCACCAAGACAGGCTATAAGGCTATACATGATGGGCTAGCCCACTGCGCAGTCAAGCGCTTACTGCGGGAATGTGCCATGCGCAGGCGATACACAACCATGCGCGACTCACTTCGAGGAGAGCTTGGCCTACGAAAGCTGTCGCTGGCTTAACTTGATGCACCTAGGGCCCGTGGCTGTCTCAGGAGACACGATAGGTGGTGCTGCTAACTTCCCCATTGTCACAGCAGGTCGTTTGAGGCTTTCACGTCAACCGTCTTGGAGCCATCTAGTCGTAGCTAGTTCAGGTTGGGATACGCGAGGTCCGAGAGGCACTTCAGGTCAGAGCTGTCTTTCGAATTAGCATCTAAGGCGAGTCAGAGCGGAATATGGCCAGGCACGGTCTGCCTTAAAAAGCTGCGACACGTCTCTCTGTCTCTCTCCGTGGATTGCAGGTGAAGGTCAAGGGCAAGTTGGTGTACGGGCTGACCGACAAGCCCGCGAACCGTTATCAGTTCGATTGCGAAGAGATGGGTGGCAAGGTGGACGTCGCCGCCTATTTCAAGCATAAGCACGGCCTGACCCTCAAACATCCTGATCTTCCGTGTATCCAGCTGGGAAACGCGCGAAACTGCATTCCCATGGAGTACATCTATGTCATGGGTGGCGCCTCGGCTGCAAGATTATGCCCAAGAGATCCAGGGGTTTGGGCAGTTTGCGTTGAGGTGAGCACAATCTGGCGGTGGGAAAGCTGCGGCCGGAATTCCAGCAGGAGGCTCACGGCCAGTGCAAGGTTCAAGTTTCCACCTCGGTACATTCTCTGCCGTCGCAATGGCCCCAGAGTTAGAGCGAGACTTTGCGGCGGCAACCTCGAAATTTAGTACACAGCAGATTTGCTGCCCATTGCCAGGTGACGAGGAGGACAGCCATGCAGCCCTCCGCCCGGCGAGACCAGATCATGCAAGCCCTGAACAATACACAGCTAGGCCGGGGCCAAACTAACATCGGGCCAGAGCATGTGAAATATCAGCAGAAAATGGTCGCTATCAGCCGTTTTCTTGATGTTCATTCGGTATTTTGGCATCTGTTTGAAGTCATCTTGAAGTGATGCAAAAGCCATCCTTGCGAGGCCCTTCTGCCGCCCTGAAGCCAAAGGGAGTCGCTTGGATCTGAACTTAAAGGGATCTATAGGGGTTCCTTGAAAGGGATCTATAGGGGTTCCTTTAAAGGGATCTATAAGGGTTCCTTTGTAAGTTGGGGCCCGGGGGCTCTTCGAGGGCCACACTCCTAGCAGTCGTGGCAGGATGATACTGCCTATAGCTTTAGACAGCATCCCCGTTTTCCTGAGATCCTAAGCCTTAAACCCTAAACCCGTTAGTATCATGATGTTTTCCTGAGGTCGACGTGGCGTTCGAGATGCTCGCCGTTACCGGCAGGCTGTTGGACACGCCAAAGCTGCGAGATGGTCGCCCTGCTTGCAATGGTGGGGTTGCCTGAAGTTTGCGCTTGGGAAGCTTATCAGACGGTGAAGGCAATGCCCCCTTTTTCCGAAAAAGGGGGACCCTAATATAGTACCTTAAATAGTAGGATCCTGATTATAAGAACCCCAAAATAAAGGTGCCCCTCCCCCCCTCATTTTCGGGGCAGGAGCTCCTACTGCGACTCTACGGCTACGATCGGTGCGATACTGCTCTCCTCGGAAGCCCTATACGTTTAGGGTTTAGGGTATAAGACCGTTGTCGAGTGGAATTGCGCTGACTGAGACATGCTTTTCTAGCTCACACGACGCGCCTGTAGCTACTGCACTGCCCAAAGAACCGAAACCAACCTCGCCTGCATGGCCCGGTTCTGCCAGAGTCCAAATTCCTGTCGCATATCATAATATGGGGGTCTCCCAAAATAGGGGACCCTATGTTTGACCGTGTTCCGAGTAAGCTTGCGTAAGCTATTATAGTACCTTACATAGTAGGATCCGTATTATAAGGACCCCAAAAGAGGGTACCCCTTATTTTCGGAAACGCCCGTACGACTTATTGAGTTTGGCCTTGTGAAAGAGACGAGTTCCTCGTGGGCTCTCTGCGTAGGTCCATGGTTTTTTATTTCAGGTTGGCGGTTGGCATCGCCATCTCAACCTCTGATCCCGAGACCTCTCTGTCTAAAGAAGTCCGAGGCGCAGCAGTCATCCTGCAGCATAATACAGTGTATCAGCATGTTTATAGTAGTATTGCAGCATGTTAACCCTGAGTCCTACAGTCATATCCGAGGCAGCAGCGCCGTCATGAGAGACTCCACGAACTACTCCAACAACTTCAAGACCCTCGCGCCCCCGAAGTTCAACGACGCTCGGGCTTGGTAACTCTGCAGGCCGATGCCAGCCCCACAAATCCTGTAAACTAGTCCTCCTAATCGCTTTCCAACGGCGCGACTGTCGCCGCAAGTTGCAACAAGAGACAGGCACGTCACAGGACTGGTGGGGGCTGGGGCCAACCGGCTCGCCGAGCTACACTCCTAGATGCCCTGAACTTTAAACCCATACAGTATACCCTACACCCGAAACCCCTAACCCTAAATGCCTGGTGCGAGTGTGAGAGTCGAAACCCCCAAAACTCAAAAGATGTCCAGCGACATTCAGGTTTCCTGGGGCCTTTGGACCTTCACGACAGAGAGAAGTCCCAGTGAGCGACGCGGCAGCATTCTGACCACGTGTATCTGTGTCGCGGTACGGCTGTTGTTTAGAGCATGGCAGCTGTGGTGCTGTACTGATGTAGGATGTATGGTCAGGTCAGAACAACAGGAACAGGAATAGCAAGAGTGACGCCGTTTGCTAAATGGGAATGATACGTCCAACTTATTGGAGTATCGCGAATTGTTCCAAGCATGCAGGACTTAGCATGTCAAGTTCTGTGCGCCCGTGTCACCCTTGCCAGTATTGGTAATCCACCCTGGACATGGCTCGGATTAATCGCAGAAGTCCCGATAGAGGGCGTGCGCAGAGATGGGGTTTAGGGTTTAGGGTTAGAGCACTGCCAAAGGGCTTTACCATGCATTGCTGAATGGCCTCGTGACTCGAACCTGAATGCTGCACGAAGTGCCAAGCTAATCTATGCCAAGAACAGCAGCAGCTCCTGCAGGAGAGACATCCAATGGTTCGCGGATCAGTTGACGAAGCGGTGCTACAGCAAGGGCATGAACTTTTCAGACGCGAAGTTTGTGGAGTGGCCGGAGGAGGTTGGGTCGGTTGGGTGGGGTTCTTGAAAGCTTTTGATTGCTTTTGCTGCATTGAGCCGTTATTCGATTCCGAGGCCTTCAACTCCTACTTCCGTTGCTCTTCGGCTTGCAGTCATCGAACTTGTGCTGAGATTTCTGCTCATTTGAGATCCAGCCTGGTGCACGCAGTGCGCAAGGCCACAAGAACAGGGAGGCCTTCTCTCCGGAGATGGGCAATGTGATCCGAAAGGAGCTCAACAGAGTGGCGACGGCGCATAAGGCGGGCACGCAGAGAAGAGTGGCAGCGTACGAAACGGCAAGGTGACATGTAAGCGGGGATGTGATAATTGAAAGGACCTCAAGCTGCTGGTTATCCTGCTGGACAACAGTGAGGCCTGTTCTGGCAGGGTGACTCTGAAAACGCCCGAACCACTACGGCCGCAGTGGAACTTGTGCCAGCACACGGAAGTCTGATAGTCCTGATACGTCATGATGGTACCATGGCACTTTTTGTGTTGGAGTGACAGCGCCGGGAAGGGCCGGGAAAGCCTCCGCTTTGAGGCCATCACAGACCACCTTTACAAGCTCGTCAAGCTCATCACAGAGACCGAGATGGGCACCTTCACCACACAGTTCGTCAATTGCAAGAAGGGCATTGAGGCCAGTCAGCTTTAAAGTGCCACTGAGATTTTGTTTTTGCTTGGGAGGACGCAGAGAAGAAGCTCAACAACCTCATGCTGAAGATCACCCCCAAACTCCCGGAAATGCCGACTGGCCGTCGGGCGGCTCACAACGTGGCACTCTCGGAGCCGCACCCGCTTCTCAGGAAGGAGGAGGCCAGGGGGGAAAGCATGGCGTGTCCGTACAAAGCAGTTGTCGTTCTTGTGCCAGGCTGCGCTCAGTGTCGGTGTGTTGTCAGGCCACCATGATCATGGGTGCTGACGTGACCCACAAGGTTGCCGGTATCAGTGTGGCCGGAGTTGTGGGTTCCGCGGATTCAAGCTACGCACCTCGGCGCTCAGATGTAAACGTGACGCGATCCATGTCTGTCAATCTGTTAAACCCTAGGGGCTCCAGTTACCTACTAAATAGTGGGTTACTAACCACATAACTGGAGCCCTGGGGAAAGTTAAACTCGAGGCATCTTACTTCCACCAGATCCGGGGCCAATCGCCATACACGCTCAATACGCTCAAGCAAAGAAATCGCCAAAGCGAAGAGCGTATCATTGACTTGACCAGCAGCTTGGCGGGGTGAAGGGTGGATTGCTGTCTAGGCGCCCGACAGCTGAGGATGAGGTTTTTGAGTGTCTCCGTGCCGCAAGGTATGACATTCAACATTCTGGAGAAGTGGAGAAGCATGAACAAGAAGCTCCCCGATACGATCATCTACTACCGCCAGAGCCCCGCATTCCGAGTTTTCTCGCGGTATGCAGAAAGCAGTTTTTAGGGGGCCTTCGGGTTTGTCACGTTCGCACTTGAAAACCCACCCTCTCTCGCGCAGGTAGGGGGTTTGGGATCGGAGCTGTCTTAGACTAGGAGCCCGCAACATCCGAATGAATCAGCCCAAAGGCCCCAAGTTCAGTCAGTCCCACTTCCCGTGCTCTCCCACCTTGCTTTCGGGATGCAGGGCTGTCCACTCCCAGAAGCGGATTTTCCCCTGCATCTGCTTTATCGGACGATCTTCTCAGGTTTAAGTTCAGTTTTGCCCAGAAAGGGTCCTAAACCGTAAACCCTAAACCC